TATATATATATATATATATATAATAGATATATATATAGTATATATATATATATATATAGTATGATATATATTATGCCAATCAAATACTAAACTTGACACAGTTAAAAAAACAACACTTATTCATTTTTACATCATATTACACTGTAATACAATATGAATGTAAATGTAAAATATAAATGTTTATAATATATATATATAAATGTTTATAATATATATATATATATATATATATATATATATATATATATATATATATATATATATATATTTATATATATATATTATATATATATAATAGTATATTATTATATATATATTATATATATATATATAATATATTTATAGTAATATATTTTATATGATATATTATATTATATACTATATTATTTTATATTATATACGTATTTATATTTTACTAATATTGAATATTTATATTTATTAATGTATATATATGTATATATTATATAATTGTTTTTTTAATGTGTCTATTATATATTGATAATATATATATATATATATATATATATATATATATATATATATATATATATATATATATATATATATATATATATATATATATATATATATATATATATATATATATATTATATATATATAATATTTATATATATATATATATATATATATATATATATATATTATATATATATATATATATATATATATTATATATATATATTATATATATATATATATATATATATATATATATATATATATATATATATATATATATATATATATATATATATATATATATATATATATATATATATATATATATATATATATATATATATTAATTATGCCAATCAAATACTAAACTTGACACAGTTAAAAAAACAACACTTATTAATTTTTACATAATATTACACTGTAATACAATATGAATATAAATGTAAACTATAAATGTTTATAAAAAATATATATTATTAATGTATTTGTGCTTTTTTTTTAGCTAAGCAAAATTTAAGAATTTCTATTATCATTTTAAAATAATAAATTAAAAAAAGAAAAATGGGATGTACGAATATAATTATATCATTTATATTATAAATGATATAAATCTAATTATACGATAATTAAAAGTTAAAATAACATTCATGTCATTCATGTAATATAGTATTCATGTAATATATACTTTAAAGTCTCGTATTTAGCTCCATTTCTTTTTTTAAATTTAGCAAAAAAATATATAAATATTTTCTCAAACACTTATAACTTTAAATATATTTATTTCACTGCTAAAACTATTTCATTCTATTTAGTATTCGATGGTAATTATTTTTAACACATTTGGCGTTTGTTGTGTCTATTTACTTTACATTTTGCAATGTTGTCGCGTTTAACAAATGACAGAACAAGTGCATTTAAATGCGTAGTTGTCTGTTTGGGACAAATATTTACCCACTATATTTACTTATAATAAATTACAATACGTACAAATTATGACGCACTGTAGTTTTTTTGTTTCGCATTAGTTTTTATCCAATACTTTTATATTTGAAGATAGATGTTAGATGAAGACGATAGATAGACTTTTTAATTAGAAGATTTTTTATATACTTCAAACTTATATTTATTTTAATGCATGGCATCACAATACTATTAAATAAATACACAAACAAGTACTAATTGGCTTCAGTAGCGTTTTCTGATATCAGAAAACGCATAACAGACGCATCATGATGCGTCTGTTAGGGCGTGTTTCTTTGGCTTTATGCTTTGTGTTTAGTTGTTTCACATTTTTTTAGTACGTCGTTTTTTTATTTTGCGTGTAGCGTTTAAAGAATCACTTGGAGCATTTTTATTATAAGTAAAAAATTAAGTGGGGATAGGTCGCGAAAGTTAATTAATTTCTTTAAAGAAACGTCATAAACATAGAGCCCAAATTTCTGATACACTGTAATAAACTTTAACCTTCCTATGTGTGCTATTTTAATAAAAAAAACTTAGGGTTTGAACAACATTTACTTCCCGGAAGCCATTTTCAAAGACTTATAATTAAGAATTTAAAACTCAACAAACAATATCTTTTGTGAAGAAAATCAACAAAACTCAACAAACAATATCTTAATTAAAGATATTGGGGTAAAGACTTTACCCCAAGTTACATAGATTTTATGCATAATTTTTAAGCATAGAGTCTAGCCACGATAAATAATCTAGCTGAGTCTTGTTTTCCTGCTTGTTGGAAAATGACATCTGTGGTTCCAATATTCAAAAACTCTGGAGAAAATTCTGAACCCTCCAATTATCGTCCGATCAGTCTTCTTTCTGTTATTAGCAAGGTCTTTGAGTCTTTGATCAACAAATTCCTCATATCTCATCTTGAGTCAAATAAACTGCTGTCAGACAATCAATACGGTTTTTGATCCTCTCGCTCTACGGCCGACTTGCTAACTGCTGTAACTGAAAGATTTTATTGTGCATTAGATGGAGGCGGTGAGGCTAGGGCTATTGCTCTCGACATATCTAGAGCTTTCGACAAATTTTGGCATGCTGGTCTTCTCCATAAGCTTGCTTCATATGGTGTTTCTGGGAAAGTTTTTGAGATTATCAAACCATTTCTTTCTAACCGGTTTATTAAAGTTATTGTTGAAGGCCAACACTCTTCTTTATTTCCAGTAACTTCTGGGGTTCCCCAAGGTTCCATCCTGGGCCTTGTTTTGTTTCTTATCTACATAAACGATCTTCCTGACAACTTTTCATCTAAAGTAGATCTTTTTGCTGATGACTCAACTTTATACTCCTGTCTCGACAAAAAGTCTTCTCTTTTCGATCGCCTAGAACAAGCAGCTGATCTTGAATCTGATCTCACTTCAGTAATAGATTGGGGTTCACAGTGGCTTGTGAATTTCAACTTTAAAAAAACCCAGTTGCTTACTGAAAACAACTACCGTAATATAGTCAACATTCCTATATTAATGAATGGCAATCCTCTTACTGAGTCCTCCTCTTTACGTCTCCTTGGATTATCGCTTACTACTGACCTTTCATGGAAACCATATATACAATCGATTGCTAAATTAGCTTCTGCTAAGGTTGCTTCTCTTTATCGTGCTCGCCATTTCCTTACTTCTGATTCCATTCTCTATCTCTACAAATCTCTTATTCGTCCCTGTATGGAATACTGTTGTCATATTTGGGCTGGTTCTTTTAACGATTCACTTTCTCTTCTTGACAAGGTCCAAAAACGCATTGTAAATGTTGTTGGACCTGGACTGTTAAGCTGTCTGTCTGCTAAGCTTGAACCTCTTTCTCATCGTCGTAAAGTTGCATCTCTTTCTCTTTTCTACAGATACTATCATGGTCACTGCTCAAAGGAGTTATCATCTCTAGTTCCATCAATTAAAATTCATTCTCGTTTTACTCGTCATTCAGCTAAGTCTTATTCTTTTATTGTATCTGTCCCTCCATGCTCTAAAAACTTTTATTCATCTAGTTTTTTTCCCCGCACTTCAATCCTTTGGAACTCTCTCCCATCTTCATGTTTTCCTGACTCATACAACCTTCAACTTTTCAAGTCTTCTGTCAACCGTTTCCTTGCTCTATAAACCTGTTCTTTTTTTTTCCTAGTAACTCCCAACTTAATAGTGGTTGCTTGCAGCCTTGTTGGGAGTGAATGCAAATAAAATAAAATAAAAAAAAGCTGGGCCTACGAATTTCGGACCCCTTTCTTAAGTTTAGGGTCATTTTCTGAATACAAGAATTTTTTTAGCAAAACATTTAGAAATGGAAAATTTTTAAGATTCTAACGCCCTAATGACAGTGGTAACTTTAAACTTCTAGCCACAGAATTGTTCGTATGGTATTTTCAGCTCAATAAACACTACATAGGGAAACTGCGCCTATGATGGCAACTTTAAAGCTTCATATTATAAAGACCAATAATAAAAGTTTTGATATAGATAAATTCCTGTTACATGTAGAACAATAATAACTCTAAGACTTTTCATCAGTTATTTTTTTTTTTAAATAGTTATTCCTATTTTTTAAAAAAAAGCACAAGTACGCCATCATAGGCAACCACTGTTCCTATGATGATATAGTGGAGGATGGTGCTGGTTAGGATGTAGGGTAACTTAATGATTTCATTTATTTTTAGAGTCTTCCTTCAGAAAAGCAAGAAATTACTCGGAACCGTTCTAGTTTACCATTTCATGTTATACAGCAGCATTGTAAAGTTTAACGCATGCGCATAGGATATATTACGTATTATGTATTTTATGGATCAAAACTCATTTGGAGCATTGCTTTCGTTTTATTTTATTAAAAAATAAGTTTTTCTCATAAAAAAAAAAGGTTTTCCCAATTCGTCAATATTGTAACACACCCAACTCGTCAGTATGGCATCAAGGGAAGAAGTCATCATTTTCATTAAAACAAGCTGTGTCTGCCTCATTTAAAAAATAAAATTAAAGTAAGTATTCCACTAAATGCACAAAACTTGGATATAAAATGCATGAAAATTCTCTTTCTGCACATTTATTAATAAAATCACAATCTTACGAAGAGAATAAAACTATTACTGCAAATCCCAAAATCGATTTTTGTTGATTATAAAAACAATATTTGCGCACAAGGGTTTCACATGTTTTCACTAAAACTAATGTAAAGTTAGTGTAATTATGTAGTTCTAATCAATTTTTCACCAAAACCAATTTTTATTGAAATATGACCGGTGCTATGCCATTATAGGCGCCATTTCCCTACTTACATATACTAAATTAACTAATTTATTTTTTCTATTGTGACAATAATATTATCAATAAGTTACAAAACTATAATTATTTATATTAATATTATTTAATAAAAACTTACAGCTATTCAAATCTTTCAACATCAAAAATGCAAGCACACTTTTTTAACTCAACTTTCTTTTGATAGCAAATGCAAATGTTCAAATTTTAACAAAAAAAAGTCTATGTTGTTTCTTATCGTCATGCTTTTTATTTGACTTTTAAACAATATCACACACCCATTTATTGACAAATTACTTCGCAGTGTTTTTATGTTACACCTTTACTGCAATTCACGTCTTAAACTTTCTTTGTATGTTCCGGGTAAACAGCAAGTGATTTTTAATTTTTGATATTCGAGCTTCTTTGTGAGTTGCGAAGAAAAAAAAAATTAAAATTATTTTAAACCATCAGATAAGACTTTTTAGTTTAATATAAACCACACGTATATAAAGTGTTTAAGTGTTATTCTTGTGTTTAAGTTTTATTGCTGTGTTTTATTCTTGTGGTTTATATATTTAACATTTCTTTAAAAATGGTTAAACTGATTTTATTGCAAACTTTTAAAATGTATTTATTATATAAAATAATAACTAATATAGTAAAACGACGTTAAATGAAATAAAAGGTGTTGCAACTCTTACAGTAATCAGATTTTAAAATATTCTCATTTTAATTGTAAATAACTTTAGGCTGTAATAATTATTTTACTGCTCATTAAAAAAGTTGTCTTGCTTTTTTGCAGTCAAAAATTTATAATTTATATATATATAATAAAGTTATAATTTATATATATATAATAAAGTTAATTGAGACACGTTCCTTGGAAATATTGCCGGTCTACTTTTTTTGTATGTGTCAACGAGTTGAATGACAAAAGTAACAACAACAACAACAACAACAACAACAACAACAACAACAACAACAACAACAACAACAACAACAACAACAACAACAACAACAACAACAACAACAACAACAACAACAACAGCAACAACATCAACAACAGCAACAACAACAACAACAACAACAACAACAACAACAACAACAACAACAACAACAACAACAACAACAACAACAACAAAAAGGATGCAAAGCGCTGTAAAAGAGTTTAACTCAAAATTCTGAAATTGGATGGTCCATAAAAAACGCCACGCATAATTTATTTAAAAAATGTTAATGCTAATAAAATGATTTTTATTAATTCTACTTTGATTTTTTATGTAACTTAAGGCTCTGTGGATCGTCTGATGATCTTTTTTGTTTTGTTTTAATAAAACAAAAAAGATCATAAGTTTTTACAGTAGTTTACTTATAAAAAATGGGTTTTTTAAAATTCGAATACGGTGCAAAGGGTCAAAAAAGGGCAAGAAAAGGGCAATGCAAAAGTTTCTAGCCTCATATTTTTATAAATGATTATAATAACGAATCTTATTCTGATTAAAAATTGTATAGAAACAATTTTACGCTTGAAATTTAATGGAAAGTTCTCTATTTTACATTTGAAACAAAAAATTTCTATATTAAAATGATGAAATTCGACATCTTTTTGAATATCTTTTTTGCAACTTACGTAATTTAACCGAACTTCTTACAACATATAAAATACCTGGTTTTTATTAACATCAATTTTAAAGTAATGAATTTATTAGAAGAATTTAAAAGTTAAAATATTTTTTAAATAATGAAAATAATAGCTGCTTTGTATTTTCTATTTATATGTCAACATAAATTAATAATAATAAATTAAGCAACTTTTTAAGGTAATTTTTTTTAATGAGAAAATAAAATCCAGGCTGCATAACTGAAAGATTTTTTAATTGTTTTTAACCGATCTAGTAACTTTATATAAAAGGAATTTTGCATTAGCTTTTTTTTAAAATTGCAATTTAAATTAAAGTTTTCTCGAGATTAAGTATTTTAACTTAATGGTATTAATATTAAGTTTGCATTTGTTTGCATATAATTCAAATTGATTTCATTAAATTTAAATGGCTGGTGTTAGCATGTCAACTGCTTCTTTTCAACGAAATGCAACATGTTGTAGGTACGTAGGCTGATTTTTTTAAATTAATTAAATACTATAAAATTATATATCATTAAAAAGCCCTCAAATACAGTATTCTAAAGGTGAAAAAATTATGAATATCGGACTATTCAATAAAAAGTTATAGCGTTTTTAGTAGCAAATTTTCGATATATGGATTTCTTGATAAAACTGTGGTCAAAAAAGTTTTTTTTTTTACATAAATTGTTATATATTTGCGAATTCTTATTCAAATATCTATAATTTGGTATCAAAAGATAGATGTAATAATGGGCTATAATTTCAAACTAGTTTATAGGTAAAAGGCGCATCGAGGGATCCAGAGGGGGTGCTAATCCATCACCTACCCCTCACAAAATTACACTATTTTTTCATAAAAGTGTGTTTTTTTTAAAAATTGGTAGTATTTATATACAACGAGTTGTTTTTTATTTATTCCACACCACTTGCAAATTTTACAGGTCTATCTTAAAGTTTGGTGTTGGTTTGTGGTGCAGGTTTAACACACCCTATAAAAATTTAATTCTTTTAAATATTACAATCTTTACTAAAATAATTAAATCTATGACAAAAAATAAAAAATATATTTCAACACTTAAAAAAATATTGATTATTGGTGTATAAATTGCTTTTATGGAAGAGGGCGTATGCCACCCCCCCCCCTTCCGCTCCTGAAAAAAAAAAATTAAATGAAAATTTTACAAAAATTGTTAAAATGCTTTTTTAAACAGAGAGAAACTAATATAAAAAAAATACATTAATGTAATTGTTTTTGTTTATAGAATTGCCCCTCGAGCCGCTCCCGTATTTCGCTTGCCAAAAAAACAACAACAGAAAAACAGAAATTAGTACCAAAAGTGCTACACTTGTTAAACTATTTGCTTATTATTTGTTTTTTAATGAAATTTGGCATGTGCATAGAAAATGCATGTAAAAAATATTTTTTATAATAAAAAAAGGGGGCTCAACATTTCTTCGACTAAAAATTCATGTGAGAACACCAACCTATTTTTCAGTAGCAAAATAATCCATAAAAAAATTCAATAACAATACATATAGTTCTTATAAAAAACAAGCTTAACTCTTCTTCTTTCCAAAAATATACTATGTGTATATATGTTTCTATAAAGAAATTACTTTAAAATACGTTTGCCTTACACTACCAAAAAAAAAGTCAAAAAAACGAGTCACAGAATTTTAGCACAAAATTCGGTTTCGTAATTCGCTATTTCCGCGTACATAGTTGTTGCTGCTGAAAATTTTTTGGAGCAAGGTCTTTGTCTTTATCTCCTGTAAATTCAACAGTAGAAGATTTGATGAAGCTGTATATTTAACCCGGTTATTCCCTGGAAATTAGCAGTTACCCAACTGTAGTTTGTTCCAGTTGTAGAAGAAATCTTTACATGATCAAGTCCGGTAATACACCCAGAAAATGTTGACCAGAAATTTAAACGGAATGCTCCCAATTAGTAAAACCGAACCAGTTATATCTTTTTCTGCCAATAATTCAAAGCTCTGTGGACAATGCTACTCAATCTTATCAGAAGAAATGCCCACAACTGTTCTTCGTCAACTGCTGTAAAAAACTTGATTATTCTATCCACAAGTCTAGGGAGCATTCAAGCTGAACAAGTTGCTTCAGGTATAATACAAAATAAATTGAGTGCAGACTGCACTTTAACAGGGACAACATTTTCTTTATCAACTGGGGGAAACCCAATGGATGTAACTGTTGGATGTCCTTCTAACAAGGTAAATAGAAGATAAGTAAAACAAGTATCCCTACAAGTTATAAAGGAACTTTAAGTCGTATTAGAGCTTTCAAATAAAAAGACCAAACAATTAATTTCTACTCTTCGGAAAGGAATAGGGAGTAAGACTGTTGTAGAAACTAACATTTTTGGCAAGTTAAATGATCTTTCGAAATCCGTATCACGTTTTTATCATGTAGAAAAGGTAATTTAAATATTTTAAATATATTCATATATATATATTATTTATAGATATCTAGTAATATATTGATCAAAAAATTGCTCTTTTATGATGTTAGATTTTCTAATATAAAATGATATTCAAAAAATAATATTGGGCCTAGCCCGTAAGGGTTAGTGTTACGGTCATCGAGCACGACTATTTTCCTAATAGCAATTACTGTCACCGCGAAAAAAGATTTTTGTCTGTGGAAGATGCCTTGGCTAGCTTTTTAGTCATAAGTCAGTTATAAATCCATGCATAGGTGTTTAATCCATCATGGTTTTCTGGAGTATGGCTGGGCTTGCTTGGTTTGGTTCACAGACAAATCTTTTACGCTGGTTACTAACAATACAAGACTCTACTGAACGACATAAACAGCACAGACTTACACATTACACCTATACACCTTTATGCACATACAGCTTGTTTACATCTTTTGCATGCTTTTTGTTCTTTCATAGATAAACTATCTTTGTTTGAACTCATCCTTATTTAGATAATATCTTCTTTTAATAGATATGTTGTTGAATTGTAGATACAGATTTATATGTTATCTATATGTGTTTATCATGTGTGATTGAATTTTTCATTAAAGGATTCATATGCATATACATATAAGCATAAGAGCGATTTTTATAAACTAGCGGCTTTCGACTTGTTTTTATGAAGTATCTTTTTCCTTGTTATTTTGTTATGGTCTCAAAGTTACATTTAATTCGGACCGTAGAGAAAACTTTATTTTTCGGAAATTTCGATTTAGATATGGTCTCAAAGTTACTTTTAATTCGGACCGTAGAGAAAACTTTACTTTTCGGAAATTTCGATTTAGATATGGTCTCAAAGTTTCTTTTAGTTCGGACCGTAGAGAAAACTTCTTTTCTTAACAATTTTTTTTTTCCCGCTTTCTTCATCGTTTTTATATCACGATTTATATCATTGTTATATAACCCACAACTAATTTTTTAACCACTCATTTGGCTTAAAATTATCTGGTTTTATTACAATATTTAGTTAGTCTTATTGCTATATTTATTAATATATTACTTATCTCCTGATTTTCATATTATTACTGTTTACAGAAACTTTCATGTTATATTATCTTGAATTCATTACTCAGCTTTGTTTTATTTTTCACATGCACAACTTTCATCTTTACTATTATTCAGAGAATATTTTTAATATCCTTCATTTAATGTTTACATATATGTCGCTT